AAAACAGGGTTCAAAATGAATGCTCTGATGGGATGAACTGTTGGTCTGAAAAGCTAGTTTAATTTGAGATACTTAAGGCTGAAAGAGATACCTGAGGGAAGAATTGAGTCTATGTGTTTCACATAGGATTATAAGGGTTGGGAGATAGATATCCTGAACTCAGTATTGTGCATGATTGAACACCATCAGTACGGCTCATCCCACCAGGCAGGAGAGAGCACAGAATACTTAGGGAAGTAGCTGTTGGCATGAGGAATGAGGCTCTCAGGCTGCATCAGTTTCAATAGCTAGCTCTGGGAGGATTTTAAATTTCTTTGTGAAATACAGTAGTAGCCTTTGAAAAAAATTCCTTAGAGCACTGCAAAAATGTCAGTGCAGGGTCCAATGTTATACCTTATAAGTGATTCTGAGGAAAAAATCAAAAAAAAAAGCAGTAAAAGACATCTAGTCTCTTTATGACCAAGGAAAACCAGGTATTTCTGATGTCCATTTTCCTTTACTAAATCTGAGACCTTGGAGCCAAGCTGGTTGGGTTTTTTGTTGTTGTTGTTGGTTTTTTTCCTGTCTTCCTGGAATAACCAATGTTAAAAGCAGTAGGCGATGAGCCAAACTCTGCCACTGTGACACCTTTTACACTTTGATTTTTTTTTTTCCCCTTGTACAGTAGTTTACCCTAATGCTTTTAACTGCCATACATCTCTGTGAGGTCCAAGCCATGCTCGCAGGGGGTAGTAGGGGTTCATGTTCGCTGCTGACATCTCTTTCCATGGAGCACTAATGTAGTACAACTCCGTAAAGCAAATAGCTTCACCCTGGCTGCCTGCAGGAACTTTGTGGCAGAAACTGCAGTGCTGGGGCTGCAGGGCCCTGCAGTTCATTCCCCAAAGGGCCTGAGGAAACACAGCAGGGACTGAAAGTCACAAACTCTGATTTTTCAGTGGTTCTGGGTCAATGGAACAAATGTTGCTGGAAATTATCATTTTATCTTCAATAGCTGGTGTAGTTGAAATTAGTCAAAAAAATGTATAGGAGGGTTAGAGAAAGAAAACTGATCTTGCTTTTTTGAGACAAAAGATAATGTAGAGGTTTCATTTTCAAAATTACGTTTTCAAAAAGTGCTTGATTAAGCTTTTTAATGAGAAAACAAGCTTTGCAAGGGCAGCCGATAATGAACATTATTTTTGTTGTTTTGGTCCCATTTTGGTGAACACTTGAAAACAGATTTGAAGGAGTGAAATAATAAACACTATTAAAATGCTTCACAGGAAGGAATAAAATCACTGTTTTTTGTTTGAGGTTTGGGTTTTTTAAATTTAAAAATAATACTTGAAAATTGTTGATGGGTTCTGCTCTGAATGAACTGGTGAACACCTCCCCTTTATTAAAAAGGTATAATTACTGCAAATGTTATTTTACCTTAAAATGACTGCATTTATCAACAATTCCATAATTACATTTGCTTGTTTTTCGAAAGTGAGGCCCTATTACATACATAAAGATTGGTGATTCTTTAGTGACAACTGCAATAATGGTTTCCTACTGGACTCAAAACACGCAAATCTCCATGTACATCAGAGAAGTCTGGCACAAAACAGAACGTGAATATGAAGGCAGTTTTCAGACTTTAGGCTCTGGGGTCTTAACAGTCTCAGCTGACTGTTCATTTGGTTTTTATTTTTGTATGAAATTTCTGATTGCGTGAAGAATGACTGTAAAGAGATCTTGTCTTTCATTGAACTATAAAGACAGCTTCCAGTTGTTATGGCTGCAGTACAAGGGCCTCTTCAGCAAATGGGATTGCGTAACTTTTTTCTGAAACAAGTAATCTGCTCAGGCTGCAAAGATATTGAGCAGAGCTTGGAATGGATGGTGCACTTGAAATGTCAGTGGGGGTATCTGCAAGCAGCTGAAAAACAAATATAATTTTCATCTCAGTGCATTATATAGCATAAAATAGCCAAAAAAAAAAAAAAAAAAGAGAATGAAAAGCAATGGCCTGTTTGAGTGGTATGCGGTACCAAATGCTTAAGATACAGACATGTGAAACTTTCAGTGTGCTGCTACAAAATACTGTCCACAAAAACAGTTTTTCTCTAAGTAATGATAGTTAGAACATGTTTTATGTGCTAGAGCTCAAGGTTTATAGCCTTTTCCCACTTCTTCTGCTACTCCCTTGTATTTACTGCTGGAATTCTCGTATAACCAAAAGGAAAACATACCAGGATGAATTTTCTGCTGGCAGACTTACCATAGTTTCATGGAAGCTTGCCTGTCCTTTCAGATTTATACCAGTTAAGAACCCCTAGCCTAATTTCCAGCTCTATACTGCCTTTTTTTTCCCCAAAGTTGCAGTGACAAAGAGTCTGTCTAAAGGAGAGTAGATCATCTCTGTTTGTATCTGCCCACATTATTAATAGATGAATCTTCATATCTTTTCTTATTAATCTGAAAAAAAGTATATCTGGGCTTCAATCAAAATGACAGTCAAGAGGAACCAAAACACTTCGTAAGAAAAAGTTTGTGATGCAGAAACAATTTCTAGCTGTGCCAATTCACTGACAACATATTAGTTTTATGTCTCTGCCCCTTGCACCATCCTTTGTCTTCAAAAACACTCAGCAAACAATTCAGAGGAAGCAATTGGCATATTCCCTAATGAGGCAAGATAAAGCGTCCTGTAATGATGACTATAGCAGATTCACTAAATGAACTGCAGTTTGAGAACTTTGCAAATTGATCAAACCACGATTCCTTGATTGCCTACTTAATCGCCTGTTACGGTCTCTCTCCTGACCCTTCCTATTCCATTTGCTCATGTCAGCACTTTGGTGACTGAGGGACTCTTTTAGCTCCTCAGATTGTGAATAGTGGAAGAATAGGTTCTAGTTTGGGGATTTTGTTTTATTGGCGTTTAATACGTGCTCTTGGCCATCTATGACAGGAGGAATTTAGAGATCTTCTGGACTCCTACAGTGCTTTCTACATCAGGCTAATGACTGTTCAGGAAGGAGCTTTCTTAATTCTATTTATTATAGCATGGTTAATAACTAAAGCACTGTCTCACCAGGTGATGAGTACCTTAAGCAGCTTCTTAAGTCGAGAAGGGTAATGCTGTGCACATTTAGCACTTAATGATGATCTGACTGCTGAAGACGTCTGGTCAGGAACGAAAATCATGTTTCAGTGAGTGGTACAAGTGATTGACTGGTGAGACACTTAATTCATAACCAATTTGGGATTGGAGCCCCTTGAACTGTGATTCTGTTTTATTGGCAAAAGCGAAGAGATAGCCAAATTTCATTAAAATCTGAGTGATGAATTATCTTCTAGAATTCTTCAGAGTAGTAGTCAGACAAGGCTACTTCATGCAGGCCATTTAAGCCTTTCTGAAATTTGTTTCATTAGAGAAACTACTTTTAGGGAAAAACAGGTAAAGGAGGAATGTGAGTCCATGCATGCAGAGGAGTGGAAATTTTTTCTGGAGCAGAGTAACCTCTGCCTTCTGTGGAGAGGCAGGGACTGCATTTCAGTTGGGGCGAGGAAGTGCTCACCCTGCACTTGCTCTGCAAACCTCGAGTAACTTCCAGATGAAATGCACTGGGATCTTTGCAGTTCTATTTACAGCCTTGACACAGCAGATATTATGCCCGGTCAAGTTTAATTGCACTGCTTCGCTACCTGAATTGTTGAGAGGAGCCTGGAAAAAGATTTGCAGTGGTTAACGAATGGTTTATTCACAGGTTCCCCTGAGCATCTCCCAATCTGGGCATGTCCTGCGTTTGTATAATGATATATGAATGTGCAAATAGTAGCTAAATATGCACATAAAATTAAGGGGTAAGAAAAAGATAGATTTGACCACACAGCAGCCAAAGATGATGTCTAAATATATTTCTGTGTGTTTTGCTAAGGTAGCACTGGAAAGTTTACTTGAACGTTAGGGGTAATTCTGTTTGCTTGCATTTCTGTTACTTTGTCTTCTAAATAACCCCATTTCCTAGGAAAAAAAAAAAAGTCTTGATCTATCTGTCAAGTCAATCTGTGCTTTTTATCATATTTACTGACAATTAGTTCAACAATCATAAGCTGTTACTGACACACTTAATTCATAGACAATTTGGGATTGGAGCCCCTAGAACTGTGATTCAGTTGTCAGTGTAATCAGGTAAGTGTTTAAATGGGTGGAAAAAAATATCAGTCCTTCTGCAATTGTCACACATGAAGTGACAGTTATGATATCTTGCCTGAAAACATGCCTCAAATACAAAGAATTGTAGTGGCCCGTGGAAGTTTTTCCTTCTGTTCTTGCTTTTGGTGACCTGCTGTGCTTCTTTAATTAACAGCTTGGATTTTCATGGGCATTAATCCTCCAAAAGTATGTTGATAAGCAGAGAGAAATAGATGGTTTTATGAAAATAGGTCGAAAGCATAAAGATGTCACTCAGGGTGGACACCATATCTGAGACTGAGTTTTTCTGCTAGGGGACAATGGCTTGTTTTCGTTTGGAGAGTAGATGGTGGCAGGGATTTAGAGACACCTGTCAACAGTATCCTGCAGGGAAGCAGAAGACTGGCAAAATATCTGTTATCTGTGTGGACGACATTTGTGTGCATGTCTAGGTAGTAAATCATGTAAATGCATGCATATATACATGTGTCTTTGAAGTACCATTGTGTGGATGCATATATATATATTGCTCCATTACGAGATGATGGCACGTTTGAAAGTTCGTATCCTTTTACTTAAGTGTTTACATTCTTTAATCCAAAAGAAGACAAATACCCATACCTTTAAAGCGAGCATATTCTGAACAAGTGGTTAAATACATGCTTAATTCTGAGCGTGGACTTGGGTCCAAATGCATTTCAATCACATTCCCACGCTAATCAGCAGTGACCCAACAGTTTATGTTATGACAATGATTAAAGCAGTGCTCAGGTTTGAAATGTATGTGTCTGTTTCCTTCTTGTTTGTGATACAATCACTCTCTCTTTTAAAGCTGTCTATGAACAATCTTGTGAGGCTTACCGACACCAGGGGAAGACATCAGGTTTCTTCTACATCGATTCTGATGGGAGTGGACCACTTGGACCACTCCATGTTTTTTGCAATATAACAGGTAATGACCTAACCTTGTCTTTGGTGGTTTATGTTGACTCTAATATTACTGATATGTTTATCATTATACTACTAAGAAGACCTCACAATCATAGGTTTCTCAGTAGTGGGGAAAAAAGCAGAGAACTGGTAGTAACTGAGGTTCAACTCAGATGCTTCCTTAGATAGGATCCACGTAAAAGTAATTTTTAAGCTTTGAAAGACTTGCCTTTTGCTGTTGTTAAGTGATATTTAAAATAGTATTTGCATCTTAAGAAGGACACCGCTGATGTATTTTTCATAATGTCATAACTTTTAACAAGATATTTGTTTTCTACTAAAGATGTAGAAACTTAGAATTCAAACCCTCTTTTGTAACTAAATGATTTATCTGCTTTACTAGAACACTAGACCTGCGAATGATTATTAAACCCCTTGCACTGAGCTAGCTGTAAGCCCTTCCAGTCTAACTTAAGCAGGAATACTTCCCCTCATATTACTGTGCTGCCTTTGTTGTCCTGGAGAATAGAAACCTTGATTGTCCTGAGTATCTGTATGGAGGAGAAGGCACAATGATCTTAGCAGGAGGGAAGCCAAAGAGCCAGGTAGCAGAGCATGAGTCCGGCAAAGTGACCTGTTGGTTGAGACTTTACAACCTTGCAGTTCTAGTGTTTTAAAATAAAAAGGGTTTCAAATGAATATACCTGTCTGGCAAATTCTTCCCTTAAGTGGGTCTTACTTTGTGTCTAGGACTGTCATGCAAAGGCCTGAAAAAAGAGTACATAGCCCTTGTTGTGGATTTGAGTAGATGGTAGAGCATCCTTTCTTCTTTTTATTTTTGAAATGGAGAGGAAATTTTCTAGACTGTCTCTCGTTTGTCATTTTTTGCTTCCTGTGGCCAGGTGTGGGCAAAAGAATATTTATTACCCATTCTAAATTGCTAAAGATGGTTGAGCTACTTGCCGCAAATCACCTCCATGCTCAGTCCTAAAAACTAAGGACTCGGGATATTCATATTTTATCCTTAATCTCCTTGTACTTAAAGTGCCACAAATTAAATTTTCATTTTGATTTAATTGGGCAATCATTATGTTAATTAAATGCACACCAGTTAATTATTAAGTATGTTTTTTATTCAAGTGTAACAAATATTTAATAAGATGTGTCTCCTTCACTGTTGTTGAATCTCCTAAGAATTGAAAAAGAGTTTCACCTTTCTGTCTGAATATCCTTCCTTGATCTCCAGTATGGAAAATGTGCTCATTTTTATTATTTATCATATAAATATGAGTGATCAAAACATTGTCAGAGCTTTTTATCTCTGCTGAAGAAGTAGGATTTTTGACAAACTCCTTGCAGAAAGCAGCTGCTTTCCTCAAATAAATTTTATCTGGCAGAACTCCAGATTTTCTCTCTATCTGTAATGAACTTCCTGACATTCTTATTTTATTTTGGTTACAAGAAAAGTGGATGTGGGGAAAACTGACAGAACCTCCTAGCCTGGAAAACTTTTTCATATTTCTTCTTTTCCCCTAGATGTCTCATCTGAGGCACGAAGAGGTAATTTGTCATAGGAATCTCTGTTACTCTTATTGCATAAAAGAGGACTGAGACACAAAAAGAAATTACTATTTTATGATTGTCCAGAGAGCTGAAGGTACAATTGGGTTATGCTTCTTTATCATCTAAATATGGTTTGGGTACCTTAATCAGAAGAGCTTATTTTCTCTCTGGAAACATACCTTGTTGTTATGCTGATAAAAATTGTTTACAGTAACAGATGAAGTGCAAAATACAAAAAAAAAAAAATTTTCACATACACAGAGATGGATCCTGAATTTGTGCCTCGTTTCAGGTAATGCTTCTGCATAGTTTTCTACAAAATATCAATATTCAGGGAATGTAAAAAATTAAATTCTATGTTGTTATATTAGGAACGTACAAGGAACAGAGACAAAAAAAGCCAACATTATTGTTCCGTGAAATAAATCTGTACCACACTTCCTGTGAATGGAAAACTGTAGATCGTCAGAAGTGGGAATGGCTTCCACATATGGGGAGACTGAACACATTAAAAAGATGGTGAAGGGAACTGTCACAGGAAAGCATGGAGATGATAGAGAAAGCAAAAATCATAGAGAAAAATTACAGAGAAAGCAAATAGAGATTGATTCTTTTTCATCGTATAGGAGATAAGGGATAATTCAATTATGCGTTAGAAGAATTTGAGCATTTGTTGTTTGTTTTCTTCTTCCTGATGCAGTGAATAATTTAACTTGAAACTTAGAATCACACGACATCAAGCAGGCCAGTGTATCAACAGAGGGTGAAAACAGGCTGAAAAAAGCCCTAATCTGTTCTGCTAGATTTAGAAGGTGCAATTAAACATGGAGGATTTATTGCCATTCCCAGGCAGGCAGCTCTGAGGCAAAGATCACTGGGAAGTGGGAATGAGTTTCAGGACAGCCTTTTGCCTTCCTTCGCTTCCCTGGCTATATGTTCATTCTTGAAGGCAGATGTTGGCTCCTAGGCTAAATGAAGCTGGCAGTTCTTGCTTTTCATATACAGTTCAAGAAGCAGTAACTTCTATATGCCCAAAATGTGCTCAAGCTGAAGAATTTGGAGTTGAAATGAAAAACCTGGCGAAATTACTCATATAGTGCTTTTAAAAGTAGAGGTGCAGTGAGCTAATAACTTTTTTAATTCCAGTCCCTTGAATCTGTGAAAGATGATGGCAAGGAATCGGATCACCAGAAATGAGCAGCATTGCTGCATCTAGAGAACAGTGTTCCTTAATGTTCACTTACATTTGTTCACTTACAGTTCTTTCTAGTTTGTACCTGTTTGACCGAACAAATAAGGATCTTGTTTGTATCTAGTTTTTAACCAGGGCAGATTAACTCAGCTTTCTCACATATTGATGTCTGGTCATGGGCATCCAATGTGTGATGTGGAAATGGGAAGGAACAACATTATAAGTTAATTTATTGTGTCTATGGTCCCAGTGATTTCTCTGCAGCCAGTCAACTTTAACAATCCACTTCTGAATAAAAATTCTGAAGAAAACAGAAAATTGTGGTTGTGTGTGTTGAGAGGAAATTGGACAATCATACAAAGGTAAAGAGGAGAGAGAAATAATAGAAGGGAAATTTTTCAGTGAGAAAAAAAGACCAAGAAAGTATTAAAAAATACAAAGCCGATTTTCAGCATGGCAAGAAATGTAACAGTAGAGCGTCACAGGATATCTGCCAATACCAGAGTGGGTAAATGTATTTGTTCATTGTCTGGAGAAGTGGCTGAAAAAGCAAGGTGACAAAAATTGTAGATGACATGCTATTATTTAAGTTGGTCAAGAAGAGGGAAGAGTGTGTGAAGCACTTTAGAAGGCTCTTATCTTGAATGCTGCTTATTTCTAGTAACAGTGAAATATGTTGTTAAAATAGGAGGTTGTCAGAAACATACCTAATTAAAGGCATAGAAAGATATCTGTACAAAGAGAGGTTAAAAATAAATAATACGGGTTATTTAGATTGGGAGGACCCAGAGTAAATAGACCTCATTGGCAGAAGTGATGCTCATTTGCATTTTCTTACAATAAGAATAAAGAGACAGTTCAATGACAATGAAAGACAACAATCTCAAAACTAGATCTTTTTAAAAAGACAGCATCTTATTGGCATAATGTTTTCTTGACCTTATATATACCTTATACACCAAGCAAAGCCACTTTCACAGGAAAATTCATCAATTGTAAGAAACACTGACAAATCTACACCAAATATGTGTATGTGTGAGAGGAGTGAACTAGGCTTACGCGCCCAAACCGTGATCATGTGTGGTTGGATGCTGTGAGAGGTGCCATGAGGATTTGTGTGGGTCTGTGCAGGGATTGTTAATTTGGGATGATTGTGTTCAGTGCCAGGGGAACATAGCTAGACTGTTTCCAGGGACATCTGCATGGGAATGTGAACTAGCTCTATTTGCTAGTTTTCCCATTGTCCATGGAGCTCCACACTCACACTTCTTCGCGTACTGTACAGAGAGAGTATATCCTATCTAGCTTTGGGGTACCGAACAAGCGCCAGCGCGGTGAAAAAAACTTTCCTTGTAGGCTAATTGTTTGGAAATTAGCCCAGTTGAATTAATCTTTGCTTCCCATTGAAGTCACGGATAACAATCAATACAGAATATGGCTAATGGACCTCTGAACCTCTGGTCCGGCAGGCTTTTCTATCGTTATGAGACTTATTTTTCTTTTCTCCTGTTGCTTAGTAATCTATTGATCTGTCTGGAGTGTTACTTAAATGCTAATAACCATATTCTCTAGTGCAGTCTATAGACGTGCAATCTGTGTTCACGTACTTATTTTGTTGCCCTGTGTGGAAAGAGTTTGTAATGACCTTTCCTCATGTTCTACAGAGTAAATTTTACCCTTGATATCTGAAAGATTTGCTTACAATACACTTGAGTCACTCTGTCACTGTACTTCTTTACTAATGCTGTTTTACTGTATGCAGACCCTGGGCTATCAAATCAATAATGCTTAGAAATTGCCATGACTAGATCAATAGTTAATTTTATCTTAGCCGGATATTTGTCCAGTCCTCAAATAGTTTGCCCTTTTTTTTTTTCTTACTTTCTTTTTTTCCCTCCAGGGGTGCAGGGTGGAGAAAGATGAGTCCTTATTCCAGATCTCACTGGTAGTCCAAGATGTGGTTTGAAAACTGCTGTAATGAAAAAATCATTAAGGAATAAAAATGTATCTCTCCTTGTTGCAGATCATCTCTGTTTTGCAGTTTCCTTTCAAAATGCTAACAGTGCCTATTTTTCTGATATAAAAAAGTAAAGCTTTATTTTTTTTTATTTCAGAAAACTGTATAGAGACTGTATTTAAATATCAGACAAAGTAAGGGGTTCTAAGGCAATACAAATGAGATTGCCTAAATTGCAGTTTCTTATGAATTGCCTCTAGTATTAATTTTTTTCCAGCTAACAATGATCAAGATTTTATTCTTCCATATACTATATATTCCGGGGCATTTAAAGAGGGTTGAATTCAGGAGGATACAAGCTGTGTTTGTAGCTGAAGCGTTGAAAGTATTAAGTGTCTGAATAGTCCCACTTATGGTATCAACTGTTTGAAGAAAATACAGTAGCAGTTCAGCTTTGCTCACTTCGCTGTAAACAAGGAGGAGACTGGAGTAACAGCGATACGATCTGCTACCAAGAAGAGCTGGCTGGACCTCGATCCTTGCAGCAGGGATCGCCACTGATGTTCAAAAAGTAATCATGGAACTGGTGCTATTACTGTCCACCTTCCCTTTGTTTCCACACAAGAAGCTCAGTTCATCTGCTTACATAATTTATTAATTCATTCTCCATAAGAAATAATCTAGTTTTACTTTGTGCAGCTATTACACTGATACAGACCTTACCACATAAGTCAGCTCTTGTTACGTTTCCTGTGAACTTGGCAGAATCTTTTGTGGAAAGGAGGGCTGATGCTGGTTACACTGAGGCAGTAACAGAGAAGGAGGGGATCATACCCTTAATTCTGATTTTACCTGCAATTACTAACTGTGGGACAAGAATTTGAATGCTGAAACTTTCTGAGATTCTCATAATAAGCTACAGAAGAAATTCAAAACTGTAAAATTGTTTTGGGAATGCTTTTTTTTGTTTGTTGTTTTTCTTCCTCTCTTCCTCTCTTTCTTCCTCTCTTTCTTCCT